GAGCTTTACACATTAATTTATACAATTTCAACACAAATCATAATTATGTGTCTATAAAATATTATATTTAATCATATTATTAGTGAATTTAAGCATTACCAAATGTATCATAATACACAGTAGTTAATTTATTTTTGGCAAACCAAAAAAATATAATTACTGCAGTCCACAAGAATTTATAAAAAAAATTTAACAAATATTTTTTGTAATAAAGATATACAATCCTTTTCCATTGGATCGATTCTAATAAAAATAAAATGATATTTCTAGTCACAATTTGATATTCAAACTAAAAATTAAACTTTAATTAATAATCTTTGATTAAACAAAAAAATGTGAAATAATATATACTTCTTAATATGAGGTAGCCTATCAAGTTCACACTTGAACATACTAATTTTTCTAGTGAGATATTCTAACTCTCATGCTGGTTGAACACAATGAAAGAAATAGTGACACACGCAAAACCTTTAACATTCAAGTTAATTAGTAGAGATTTGGTAGAGATATCAAAATAAAAAGATAATGGAGCTTATTATAACAAGGAAATAATTGTATAGTGGGGGACTCCTACGTATTTATTGGTGATGATGTCTGACTTTGGATTAATGGCTATTACCAATCATAGTGGATTGTTGCTAATTTATCAGTAATCACATCTTGATGAGAGATGTGAAAAGTTAGACATTTGCTAAAACAAATTTGGTAACAAATGGTGCAAAACGTATACAACGAGAATGTCTTTTTATTTATAGTGAAAATGTTGAATTTCAATTTTTAAATTAAAATAAATAATTTTATTATAAGATTATAAATAAATTATTATATACATGATATATTGTCAACATTATAATTCTCTCGATTATTATTGACATTATTATGATTATTATAATTTTTTTTATTATTGTTATTATAATTATTATCATCGTTATTATTATATAGTTGTTGTTGTTATTATCACTAGTAACGATGATGATTTGATGAAAATATGATTGTAATAATGATGATAAAATTGATAATAATAAAAATAATTATACATAATTTTATTTATAATATTTTAATCTAAGTCTTTTATTTTAATTTAAGAGTTCATATGAAAATAACATTTTCATTATATATATAACAAGTTGAAGGATGACAATTAAATAAGGATCTATTGTTAAGTTTGTTAAAATAAATATGTAAGTAAATTTGTTATATATGATCTTATTTAAATAAGTTTTTCTAGAAACACCTTCTAAAAGTAAGAAAAATAAATAAATTTTTTTTTCACAAATTAAAATTAACTTATACATAAATTAATAAAACTAATTACTATAAATTAATTTTTACATAAACTAATTTTAATTTATAAAAAAAACTTATTTCATTTATCTTTATTATTTTTCTCTTGTACCGATAAATTTGCTATAACAACCGTCTATATATTACTAGTGTAGAGAAATCACAAGCGTGAGTTTAAAATGAGGATTTAGATTCCAACTGGAAGCATGACATGAAGGTGATGGTACAACCTTATGTTAAAACTGCTGGTGTTGCAAATCCTAGGTGCGCACTTGGTAACCAGGTAATTAAGAGAACATCCTTGTTTTTAAGTGCAAAGGTCCAAATAATTAATGAACATTATACTTTTATTGTCACGATTCCAGCAAGAAAGGATAAAATATTTACATTAATTAGAATTAACTGTATAATCAAGAATGAAGAAGACTTTTTCAATTAAAAAAAATTACAATGCCAACAATATATAAAAAACGATTTTATGCATCTTTCCATTTCGTCATTAATAGTTCAAGAGTAAAGAGGATTAACAATGCTTATACTAACAATTTATTTTTGAAGGAAAAACTATAAAAACTATAAAATTTATTAAAAACTATAAAAATTATGAATAAGATTCAATGAATAACAATGATTATAAAATTTTGTGAGAATAAATGTTAACTAAAATTTAAAAATATATTTTAATTTTTTGTAACTTAATTAAACTCTTGGTCGCTCAAGTTTTAATTATCATTTTGTGTGAATTTTGTTACCCAACTTTTAAAATTGTAGATTTTGGCATTTAATTTTTAAATTTTTTGTACATTTTATCACATTGTTAATTGATCATTTATCTTCATTAGTGGACAAAAGATTTGAAACATTAATAACTAACATAATATATTAATTGTAAATATCACATATTGACTATTAAAATAAATTGTTGATATAGTATAACAGGTCAAGTTGATAATCAATAAAATATATTAATTGTTAATGTGTTATGATCAAATAACAGATGATAAAATTTGTAAAAATTTTAAAAATTAAGTGTTAAAATGTCCTATATTTAAAGTTGAATGACAAAATTTTTAAAAATCATGAAATTTAAATAAAAAACATTTTTAACCAAGAATAAGTCTCCATCATATAACTTTTACAAATTGTCATTGATCCTTAAGCTATGGGTGGTGTGGACCAATATTTAAAAGCGAAAAGTACTCCTCATAAGCATAAGTCTCGTGCATGCTCATCACATAGATAATGCCCTACCATAATTTTAAGGGCCACCCATCGGTGTTCTCTATTATCTATTCAACTAACCAATTTGTTTTAGACCCCCCTAACCAATCATGCAATTTTATTAACTAATACAAATATTACTAATTACTTTAATTTGCCGGCCAGCTGTTTAATAACTGAAAATAGATAATGTCAATTGTGTCATCAATCCCAACATACATTTGTAGCCACTCATTCCTAGCAACAACGACAAGAAACCATAAATTTCAGTTTCCTTATTCGTTGACATTTTTTATTTAATTTAGTAAAAGTGTTTAAAGCTATTTTTCATTATAAATAAAATTAAATAATAAAATAAAACTACCTTCCCATTTTTTTCTCTAGTAAATAACCTTTCAAAGAGATGCTTCCACGAAATATATTTGCATATTCACATGCTCTCCATCAACTCGTTAAATATCATTAAATTAGTTTTAAAGTTTGACTATGACACCTATTTGGAAACCATTATTTAAATTTATATTCATTTAATCATCGCTTTCGTTTCAAGAATTATTTAAATTTAGTTTATATATTTCTTTTGTACAAATAATTATTCACATGCTTCCAAATTTGAAGGTCTATATATGTCTCTGTCATTTTGGAAAAATCAGGGAAATATTGTCCTTTGGACGGTTAAACTTGAGGATACATTTAGAAAAGTTAATAATAATTGAGTGGATGTAGCTAATAATGCAGTTTGTCATAGGATTTGAGAGGTTCTTCTCCCTTCAGTTGAGTCATATCCTCGTGGATGATGCTTCTGGAATAAGTTGTGGTTGCTTCTGCAATTGTTTAGTGATCTTTATTTTTTGTTGTACCATTTTTTTTTTGGTCTATGGAGGTCAAATAAAGTCATGCAAATTATTGAGGTTTGATTTAGTTTTGATTCTAAAGAAAAAAATCTAATGTTAAAAAAATTAAATTACTTTAAATTAAAAAACAAGTTTTTAAATGTTAAATAGTACAATATTTTTTTTAATATTAGTATATGTATGAATTTTAAATTCTTTTGACGTATGAAAATAATTCAATTACTAAACTTTTATTTTCGTTAAAATCAAATATACTCACAACAAAATTGGCGTTAAAGAATTTTTAAAAAGTAAAAAAAAATTACTACATAATATTGTACGTATACAAATTGATTTTACTTGCTTCAAGGTGACACCTAGATTAAACCAAGAGGTTATAAATATCCTCTAATCAAACAAAAAACAATATGTTATATGAACTTTAATTTTATTAGCTTTAAAACTCTTATGATGATACTATTCATGTTAAGTATTATCGATTTGAGACAATTGTTTTAGAAATGTATTGTAGTCTAACCTACTCAACCATATTAAGTTTGATCTAAGACTTGTATAGGTAGACCAAAGAGCAACATATAATCGTATACATCGACCTAAGACTGATTTTTGTAGTAGTGTAGATACGTTTAAATCAATCTAATCATGCATAAAGTGACCTACTTATGCTTAATGCCATGAGTTTCGAAACAATCTATGTATCCACGTAAGATTTGAAACTTCTCTTCACTATAAAGCCAATCTTACATCACATGATAGATATACTTTTCTTTACTTTACATACTATTACTTTGTTAGATATCATTCAGGCAATCATGTCTCTAGTTAGTCAAGATTGGATCATTATTCTCTAACACTCTCGGGGAGAAACACTTGCGCCAACTAGTTGGCAAGCAAAGGCTCTGCAGGAGAGCAAGTTCTAATCAGTCCTCATAGATATTCCACAAGATTTGGATCTGCATCTTTTTACTGATGCTATAGGAATAGTGTGTTATTTATTAGGGAAAATTAGTCCCTTTCTTGTATACGTTCTTTAGTTTTCCTATTAATTTTAAAAAATACTATTACTTTGTTTGAATTTTCAGTGACTTACCATTAAATTATTTGTAGGTGAACACCACTATCGAACCTTATTACTCAAGTGTTGCTATGCCAGAGTTAGACTTGTCAGTATGTTTTGCGGTTGTTGTTCGAACACCGTATCTTGGTAAAGATGGAATCAAATATTATAACACTAAGAAATAAAAAGATAAAATTTTCAAATTAATATTCAGATAACTAACAAATATCACATACATTATACAAATATTTATAAATTTAGATAATATAATATGTAAGAAATAAATTAAACTGAAAAAAAATTAAGAGAAATGTTATAATGCATTACACAAGCATGACAAATTAATACTAGGCAAAGTATTATAAAATATTAATGAAAGCGTTAAATATTGATATATTACATTGATATTAAGTTACTTTTAATACATTATATATTATGAAACATTAATTTTATTCCATGACTTTACAATTATTTATTTTAATATGGGCAACATAGGGAATTTGAGGGAACAAGTGGGTGATTGGTGAAGGGGGTCCCCTATATATAAGTGGATAGAGCATGCAGTGCAATGCCAGCGGGGAAGGTACGTGTCTGACACCGAATCCACATTCTAACGTGCTCACAAACACCGCCGGAGAATGACGTCACACTCACACTCACACTACCCATCCGATTTAGACGCCGACTCCGTCACCTCCTCCCCCCGCTCCGACACCTTCCACGAGGCGCCGCCGCGCCTCCGCTTCATGTGCAGCTTCGGCGGCAAGATCACCCCCCGCCCCAGCGACAACCAGCTCCGCTACGTCGGCGGCGACACGCCACTCGCTGTCTGACACCGAATCCACATTCTAACGTGCTCACAAACACCGCCGGAGAATGACGTCACACTCACACTCACACTACCCATCCGATTTAGACGCCGACTCCGTCACCTCCTCCCCCCGCTCCGACACCTTCCACGAGGCGCCGCCGCGCCTCCGCTTCATGTGCAGCTTCGGCGGCAAGATCACCCCCCGCCCCAGCGACAACCAGCTCCGCTACGTCGGCGGCGACACCCGAATCGTGGCCGTCCACCGCTCCATCTCCTTCGCCGCCCTCATTCTCAAACTCTGCAAACTCTCAGGTACAAAACAAAACCACTTCCTTCTTTTCTTTTATTTATTTATATCCTAGTAATAATTTAATTAATTTATCGGGTGCAGGCATGACCAACATAACCGCCAAGTACCAGCTCCCGAACGAGGATCTGGACGCGTTGATCTCCGTAACGACTGACGAAGACGTGGAGAACATGATGGAGGAGTACGACCGCGTCGCACAGAATCAGAACCCGCGATCGGCGCGGCTTCGGCTCTTCCTCTTCGCCGAAGGGGAAGTCTCTCGAGCCAGCAGCATCAGCTCGCTCTTAAACGGCTCAGCAAAACGCGAGAACTGGTTCCTGGACGCGCTAAACGGCGGCGTTTCAGGCCTCGAGCGAGGCCGCTCCGAAGCCTCTTCCATGGTCTCGGAAGTACCCGATTACCTCTTCGGGTTAGACAACTCCGAAGACACACAACCACGACCCAAGGACCGACCCGTTGTTCTCCACGACAACGTTTCCATTTCGGATCCGGGTTCACCCGCCCCGGTTTCCTCTTCCCCTTATTGTTCCACGTCATCCCAACCCTGCGTGCCTTCTCTCCCGAACCTTCCCCCGGTTAAAACCAAACTCTCCAACCCGGTTCCCCATACTGATTCCAAGGAAATTCCAATTGAACCTGAACCCGAGCCTCATCCCAACCTCAACCTCAACCCCAACCTAAACCCCTACCCGCCTAACCCTATGGTTCACTACCCTCCCGAAGCTCCTTATTCGGGTCATTCAGTACAACCGGTTCCGGTTTTCTACGTTCCTGGTCCGGTTCAACCGGGAACTGTTCCGGTCCCCATGCAGACACCCTACCCCTACTCTCAACAACCATATCATGCAATGGTGCCATCCCATCCTCAGCTTCCATACGGGTACCATCATTTGGTTCCGGGTTCGGGTCAAGTATATGGTGCAGGCATGAGGCACGTCACCCCACTGCAACCGTATAGTCCTTCCGCCGCTGCCGCGGTTCAGGACGCTTTGAAACAGCATGTATATCACGCCGGTTCGGTTCCCATGATGGCGGTGACCGGTGGGGATGAACCGCAGAGAGGTGGAGCGGAGTTTGTGGCGGGTCGGGGCTCCAACTCGCTAAATAGCTGAGCCAGGTTTTGTTTTGGGGATGGTAAATTAATTATTACACGATCATGCAAATTGCCGATGGCTAATTCATATCCATACGTGCCTGCACTACGTTTTTTTCCCCTTATTTGTTGAATGCATTTTAAGTCAAAATTGGTAATTGCATAAAATTGTTTGAGCAAGTAATCTCAGGTTGTATATTAAAATGGAAAATAATAATAAATGATATTTCGTTCTTATGCTTGTTATATATAGTATGCTACCAAAAAAAATATTATTTTTAAAGCAAGGTTGTGCGATTGAGAGGTGGAATAAGTTAATAAGAGGGATTACAATTTGTTTTTTTAAAACTGCTTTCTAAAAATTTATTTATTTTTTATTCTCTTTTTTCCTCCATTATTAATTCAAATATACTCGAGCGTAAATCATCTCTCTTCAATGATGGATATTTCTCCATCTCTTATTTCCACAAGCTACCAAAAGGTGGGAATCTTTTGATCTGATCTCAACATATCTAAAGGAACGAGCTAGCTTTGTATTTTTTCTATTAAAGAAATTAAAGAAACGATCATATTTTATAACTATTATTGGATTATTGGATAAGGAATGTCTCATGTCTTATTATTATTATTATTGCTTCTGTAAACTTCCACCAAGAGTTCAGCATTACAATTTCGTTTTCTGTATACGACAATTTATTTCTTAGGTGTTCATATGTTACCTAGCTACAATGAATGTGCATTATTTTTTATATAATGTTAAAAAGTAATTAAAGCCGAAAACAAAGAGGATATTATATATATATA